TGAGAGGCTTCAGGCTTTCGCCGTCTCCGAGGCGGAGCAGGGGGCGGTGAGCTTCCAGAGCGTTCCTGTCGGCGGCGAGCGAGGGGGGGAAGTGAGAAGGAGAAGGCCTTCTCAGAAGGCTGCGGAACTTCTCAGAAGCCTTCGAGACTTCTGCGAAGTGTTCTGGATCTTCGGGGAAGGCTGAGCCTTCTGAGAAGGCCAGCCCCTTCTCACTCCCCCCCATCGATCGCCGCCGACCCTTCCCCAGGGCCGGTTTTCATCTCGGGTAGGAGCGTGTCGGTCCCGAGGCCCAGCGTGGGCCCCTGGAGGCCGAATGCGGCCAAAAACCTCTCAGACGGCTGGGGGCCTTCCGAGCCTTCTGAGAAGGCCTTCTCCTGCTCACTTCCCCCCCTCGGTCGCCGCCGAATATGGTTTTTGGGTCATAGCTCGGGTCTCCGGCGGGCGCTCGGGACGATCCCGACACCCCCGGAACGCCCTCGGCGAGGCGCAGCTGCTGGCAAGCATCCCGAGGCTGGATACCGCCGAGAACCAGAGAAAACGTCCGAAAATCTCGAGCCTTGAACCCGAAACTTCCCCCCCTCGCTCGCCGCCTTCTCATTCCCCCCCTCGCTCGCCGCCGATTCTGAGAATCGCGCGCCCCTCGGGGCCTCGCAAGGGGGCCACGCGGGGTCGCGAGGGCCTTCCAGGCGGCCTTGCGGGGGGCTACCTCGGGCCAGGGCCGCCTCCCATGGGGGGGGGGCAAGAGGAGCCCCTGCGGGCCACCTCGGGCCGGGACGGCCCCCCCATGGGGGGGGGTAAGAGGAGCTCCTCCTCCTGCTCCTCCTCCGCCTCCTCCTCCTCCTCCTCCTCCTGCTCCTCCTCTACCTCCTCCTCCTCCTCCTCCTCCTCCTTCTCCTCCTCCTCCTCCTCCTCGTCCTCCTCCTCGTCCTCCTCCTTCTCGTCCTCCTCCTTCTCCTCCTCCTTCTCCTCCTCCTCCTCCTCCTGCGGTCGTGCTGCGATCAGCGCCTCCTTATCCGCTGCAGAGGAGGGGGAGGAGAACAAATGATGAGGATAGCGAGTAGGAGGAGGAGGAGGAGGAAGAAAGGAGAGAGAGAGAGAGAGGGAGAGAGAGAGAGAGGGACAAAGAAAGGGAGCAACAGGAAGAGAGGGGGAGGTGAAGGAGGACGACAAAGATGACCCGACGACTGGGAGGACGGGGGCGAGGAAGAGAACGCAGAGGAAAGGGAGGAGGCAGTGGAGGAGGAAGATGAGGTCGAGTAGGAGGAGGGAGAGGTAGAAGAAGAAGAAGAAGAAGAAACTACATAAACGTAAACTTTTGGCGCTCCGCGCGGATTTCTGGGATCCGCGCCGGACCCCCCTCCCTGGCGCGCGGAGCGTGCCAGGGGCGTCGCCGGAGGGGCCGCCAGGGGGGCCCAGCGCGGATCCAGAAAATCCGCGCGGAGCGCCAAAAGTTTATGTTGATGTTTATGTGGTCTTTCCTTCTTCTTCTTCTTCGAAGAGCAGGAGAAGGATGACGAGAATGGGGATGTGCTTCCGGGTCTCTCGCCCCCGGGCGGCCACGATGTTCGCGAGCACCAGGCCGAACCGGCCGCCCGCGCCTCGGCGGCGCGGCTGGGGTGGCAAGCGGGATCGAGGAGCCCCACGACGCGGGCAACATCACTTGCATCTCTGGCATCATCAGCATCATCATCACCATCATCGTCATCATCGTCATTACTATCATTCTTATCATCATCAGCATCATCATCATCAGCATCATCATCGGCATCGTCATCATTCTCACCATCACCACCACTATTATCAACACAACATCAGCACCATTATCATCATCAACAACAACATCATCAACATTACCATTAGCAGCAACAGCATCACCATCATGCACATCATCATCCTCATCAACATCATCAGCATCATCAGGACCAGCAGCAGCATCACCATCATCATCACCATCATCATCATCATCGTCATCATCGTCATCATCGTCCTCATCCTCGTCCTCGTCCTCATCCTCATCCTCATCCTCATCATAACCTTTATCGTCATCACCATCCCCATCACCAATACCACCATCATAATCATCATCAGCATCATCATCACCATCCTCATCATCGCCCTGATTACCCTCATCTTCATCATCCTCATCCTAATCCTTATCGTAATCATCATATTCATATGCATGCTCATCATCTTCATCATCATCATTATCATCATCAGCATCAGCGTCACCAATACCATCATCATATTCATGATCGTAAACACAGTCAAAATCATAACCATTTTCAGCATCATCATCCGCCTGACCATCGTCATCCTCCTCATCACCATCAGAAACAACCATGAGCACCATCGTCATTAGTACCTTGATCACAATCGTCATCATCCTCAACAACATCGTCAGCATCAACGGCACCAGCGAATGCGGAGACATCACCATCATCTCCAGCTTCCTGGGCAGTGACGCCGCCATCGTCCTCGCGTCATCGTCTTCACCGTCTTCACCCTCATTGCCGCCACCTGCATCATCGTTATCGCCACTACCAGCAATACTAAGCACAACTAACCAACAAGAAAACATCGCCTCAATCGTTATCGTTGTCATCATCATCGTCTTCCTCCTCCTCCTCCTCACCATCATCATCAACACACATTTCAATACCATCATCATCGTCTTCCTCATAATCGCCATGATCCATGACCTCAGAACGCCTCCCGAAGAGCAATGACATCTTGATCGCTGCGTCATCATCGCAATGCGACAGGAACTACGACCATTGATAGCCTCACTACTGCCAGCACCTTGACCATCACCTATGAACATCATCCCCCAACACCTTCACCAACACTGACAACCCTAAAACAATTCATGATCCCGAACATCTTCGCCATCACTAACACAATCACCCTCAGCCAAACCGTCACCGCGTAGCTGTACCGTTCTTCCCCTTAGCGAAGGTGCCGTTCTACCACGTACTTTTCCTATTGAGCTCTCCCATTTGCCTGAAATTCGTTCTACCCATCCACAAATGCGCCGTGGTTGTCGTATTTGTGGAACGAGTATAAGTGGTAGAGTAAATCGTATAACGAACCCTCTAAATGGTAGAATGGGCTAGTTTTCATCACCGCTCCCGCCACAGCCCCAATCGCCCCCCCCCCGACGCCGAAAAAACAGGCGAAGGGACGGGACTGGTGAATCCGACTCTGGATCCCAAGCATGCGCTTTCGCGTGGGATATCCTGGAAACATCGGCTCCTGGACCCCCCTCGAGAAGGCCCAGGCGGTGGGGGAGGAGGAGGATAGAGAGAAACAGAGAGAGAGAGAGAGAGAGAGAGAGAGAGAGAGAAAGAGAAAGAGAGAAAGAGAAAGAGGGAGAGAGAGAGACAGAAAGATGTGCGCAAAAGAGAGCGCGAGAGGGAGAGAGAGAGAGAGAGAGAGAGACATTCCCCAAACGGTGCTCGCGGCTTGCGCACAGAGACTCGTACTTCCTTCTTGCATGTGTTCTGCGGAACTGGAGGGGAGAAGGATCTGGTGGGCGGAGTCAGTGCAAGGCAAGGAAGTGCGCGGGGCGGGGGGAGGGCGCGGTCGGTCTGTCGGTCGGAACTCAGCTGGACCTAGGACAGAAGATCCTCCAAGAACATGGGGCCCTCCGCCAGCCAAACTGAAGAACACTCGAGGGCACCTTCCCCAGGATGCACAAGAACACCCAACGAGCACGAAGAACATTAGGGTACCCTCCCCGAGCCGACCTCGACCTTATACCTCGGTCCGACCGTGTGAGGAAGGGGGAGGGAGGCGAGAGGATGGCTGGGCGGGGAGGCGAGGCAAGGAGGTGCGGGGCGGGGTGGGGGGGCAGGGTCGGTGAGTCGGTCGGGAATAAAAGGGAAAAGGGGTGCGGGGGGAAGGGAATGTGGGTCCACGGCAAGAAGGTGCGGTAGGGGTGGTGGGGGGGAAGGGAGGGCATGTTCGGTCGGTCGGAACGGGCTTTGACACGGGTCAGCTTTCCTGCCCGACATGCCACGGACGCTCATCGGCTTGCCTTGCGCCACGCAGGCAAATGCACAAAGGATATCATCGACTTGTGCACCCGCACGCTAAACAAATCATGCCATGAATCTTCTGACGCATGCAGAGCATCATGTGCACTCTGACCCCAGTGCTCGCATCATGCGCTATCTCAATGTGCATCTGTATGTGTCCCGGCAAGGTCAACCAAATACGTAATCTGACGGTCAAGCTGCCGTGCTACATGACGCTCGCTGCATCCATACCGCATGCCCTCGGCATACGCCCGTGCTGCACTATTAAACACAGCTTGGCACACAAGGGGGCAATTCAACGAACACCTAGTTCTTTCGGGGGCGGCCAAAAGGGGGGCGTCCAAGAGGGGGGGGCGCAAATCATGGCCGGCGGCATGTGCGCGGCCCAGGGGTGGGGGTGGGGCGGCAGGGACGCGTTGAAATGAGAAGAGGCGCCATGACATCTGGGGAGATATCACCGCCCCCGCCATGATGTCCCCCCCCCTAGTCATCACCCCCCTTGCCCGCCCCCGACTCTTGTGCGGCGCCAGCCAGGTCCTCTCGGGAGCATGGCGACTTCTTGGCCCGCGCATCCGAGCCAGCGCGGCCCCTTCCCGCAGCCTCGACCAGAAGGGCAGGGCGGACGAGCCCTGCAAAGGCGCCCAGGACGCGTGCTCACAGACCACTCGCGCGCAAGGCGCGGATGAGCGCGAATGAGGAGCACCACCACAGACGAAAGCCAAACTGCAACGGCCTGGTACTCCTCAACCTGCAACAGCAAGATGCGGGGAAGGAAGTCTTTGTGCTTGTTCCTCCTCCTCTCCGCCTCCTCCTCCTCCGCCTCCTCCTCTCTTTCTCGTCTCCACCCTCCTCCTTCTCCGCATCTGCAAGATGCGGAGGAGGAGGAGGGTGGAGGAGGAAGGGAGTGAGCGCGCCGCCTGCACTCGCGGACGGGGGTCGGCCCGAGGCCGAGAGGAGCGCCGGCTAAGAGGAGGCGCCGCCTCCCCGAAACAGATTGAGAAGAGACCACAGCATTCCGCAGGCCGGCACCAGGAGGACGAGGCAGATGACGCTGTTGTGGAGTGCTCCCACGAGCATCGGCCAGCCCACGAACACAAAGTACACGAGGCCCCAGGCGAGGTAGCCCAGCTTGCCGCAGCAGCCCCTGTTCTTCACCACGCAGAACCAGCCCACGTGGCAAAGCAGGACGCCCACGATGAGGCCGACGACACTGTCCAGGATCAGCTCGACGATGGAGGCGAGTGCTGCGTCGAGAGCCAAGCTCACAAACTGCAGGACGAAAAATAGGATGGACAGGACGATGTTGAGGATGCAGTACAGCACGTTCCAGGCCTGGAAGTGTCCGAGCCAGTCGCTTTGCCTGATCTGGAACATGGCGCCATCTATCCGAGGGCGCGCGACGAGCCGGGCGTACTCCGACAGCGATGCCGGGTACGACGACACGGGGTCCGACATTGCTCGCAGGCTGCCAGAGGTGACCCTGGCCGAGGTTGCCCCCAGCTTCTCGCGCCAGCTTGGGGCCGCTGGGCCCTCTGTGCCCGGCCCTCGTCACGGAGGAGGCGGAGGAGGAGGAGGAGGAGGTCCACATCTGATGCCCTTAGCTGCCCCGATACGCAGCACGCAACACGCAGCGTGTTGGCACTGGGTTGAACACGTCGACTGAGAACGTGGGTCTGGCGCGATACACTCGCCAGAACGTGGGCCAACATGTTGAGCCAACACGCACGTAGTGACACGGACGTCTTGAACACGGGACGCATCGCGCTTCAAAACGGGCGCATCGAGCCAACTAAGCTGATGCCTCTCGGGATCTTGGGACGCCGTAGCGAGGCCACCTGGCGGGGGGGGGTGGCGGGCCTCGACTGCACGCAAGAGTGACCCTGGGTAAAAGTGACCTTTGGTGCGCGGCGTTTTGGGGGCCACGGGGGGGACCAAAAACGAGCGCGCGAGACGCAACTACCGCATCGCGTTCGGCGATCGGGGGGCCCCATTGGGCCCGCACCAAAGGTCACTCCGGCGAAAGGCCGCTCTTAAGTGTAGTCGAGGGCCGAGGCAAGCTCAGCGACACGCCGCGGTGGGGAGCCCACCGGCGCGACCCCGTCGAGGACACACCACAGGCTCTCGGCCCTCGGGGAAGCAAACGAAGGTGCCACGCGGCCGGGCTCCCAGCGGCAGCGCGTCACCGACACAGCCACTGCGCTACACCAGCAGGAACGCATGCGGTGGGGGTCCGACCACAGGAAACCTCCCCCCCTCCTCCTCCTCCTCCTCCTCCTCCTCCTCCTCCTCCTCCTCCTCCTTTTCTTCTTCCTCCTCTTCCTCCTCCTCCTCCTCCTAGCATGCAGAAGGAGCTCGATCACAAAAAAACGCCCACGAGAAATCCAACCCCGAGACCCCAGGACGTCCCTTGATATTTGGCGTGGGCACGTCGCGCTTCTTCCGCGGCCAAGCCATGGAAGCCCGAGGAGCCCAGGGCACCCTGGAGGCAAGCGGGGCGTTTTCTTGGCATTTAGGCCTCCACTGCAATGGGGAACGAGGGGCCTCTCCTGGCCACGGCGAGCCTGTGCCACAAACGGGCTCCAGGAAAGAAGTTTAGGTCGGGCATGTCCGCCGACAGGCAGATCTTGAAAAATTGCTTAAACTTGTCGAGAATGGTCCCCGGCCTATTTTTTACTCAGGAACGGCGCGAAAGCCCGAGCCCCTCCTGCGTCCACAGCGGTCCTCGTTTCAGCGTCTCGACTGTACTCTCCAGGGCTCGAGCAGAACAGTGCTTTTCGTCTTCGTTTCGTTTTCTCGTCGCCCCCTCGTGTTGCCTCCAAGCCGCCCACTGCCGCAAAAGCACGAAACCGCAACGCAAACGGCCCACGAAATCGCCCAGGCACCGTTCAGGTCGACTCCTCCTCCTCCTCATCCTCCTCCTCCTCCTCCTCCTCCCCCTCCTCCTCCTCCTCCTCCTCCTCCGAAGAGGGGCAGATGCTGGGGCCAGGCTGCCTCGGGCGGCGCCCGAGCGGCGGCCCTGCCCTCCCGCCGACGCAGCCCCGACGCTGGGAGCCGAAAGGGGTACGGGCAGCGCAGCCTCTTCCTTCTCCTCCTCCTCCTCCTCCTCCTCCTCCTCCTCCTCCTCCTCTGCCTCCTCCTCCTCCTCACTCCTCCTCCTCCTCCTCCTCCTCCTCGTCTTCCTCCTCTCCTCCTCTCTCTCCTCCTCCTCCTCCTCCCTCCTCCTCCTCCTCCTCCTCCTCCTCCTCCTCCTCCTCGTCCTCCTCGTCCTCCTCCTCCTCCTCTCCTGCGCCTCCACCTCTCCTCCTCCTCTTCCTCCTCGTCCTCCTCCCCCTCCTCCTCCTCTTCCTCCTCCTCCTCCTGCGCCTTCTCCTCTCCTCCTTCTCCTCCTTCTCCTCCTCCTCCTCGTCCCCTACCCCTCTCCTCCTCCTCTCCTCCCTCTCCTCCTCCTCTCCTCTTCTCCTCCTCCTCGTCCTCCTCTTCCTCCTTCTCTTCCTTCTCCTCCTCGTCTACCTCCTCCTCCTCCTCCTCCTCCTCCTCCTCCTCCTCATCCTCCTCCACCGCGCTCACGTCGCGGCAGGAATCGGGTGAGCCTACATGGAGAATCTTCGAGATCCAGCGCCTCTGGAGGATGTCTCGGGCGCCGCAGCCTTCTCAGAGCGTTCCGGAATACTCTGAGCTCC